AAAGAAAGAAAATAGAAAAACAGTGTGTGTGTGTGTGTGTGTGTGTGTGTGTGTGTGTGTGTGCGTGCGTGCATGCATGCGTGTGTGTGTGTATATGTGTGTGTGCAAAAAATTGTATACTCAACTTGATTGTAATTGCTCAGTTGATTATATCCATTTGAGCAGCCCCGTGTTAGTATGAAAGAGGGAAACAAGCATCCTAGAACTGAGCTGACCTGCCGTGACCCTGATCAACCCGATCATTCGCACGACCTCGAACTTATGCAGACTTTCGATTCCTTTAGATCTGGACCAATCTCCCCGATTCTGGCCATTTGGAGGTGCGTTGTAGAAACCTTTCCTTCCTCTCGTTCCCACCAATTCCGTCTGAAGACTTGGAGTTCGTGGGAGGGGTAAATTGACACCAAAAAAATCCCTCATCCTTCTTCTGTAGGACTAAATCTTGGGCAATGGAAGTTTTCTGTGTCATATTCCTTAGCGGAGGCGTTGGGCGTGGGAGGATCCCGTGACAAAGAGGCACGAAGCTTACTTGTCAGTCCAACGCAGAAGTGGGAAGAACAAGAGGCTAAGTGTCAAGGATACCAAGCAATTATGGATCAGGGAGACACGGTCCCTTGAAGTGGCCGGTTTCAGGTGAATTTGGGCGTGGCTTACAAGGGCTATATGGAAGTTGAACGCTGTCCGGTAGATTACAGAATCCATTGCGCTTTCTTGTAGTAAACACAGTCACGGTGGAAGAACAATGTTATTTACAGTGACGGTAAAATTGGTATCACAAAGGACATCGCTTTGTGAGACCCATTCTAACTGAGTACCCAGGCTGGGGAAGAAATCATACATATTTTATTTATTGAAAGTTGTCTGCCGCGTCAACATCTAAGATCATTAGCAGCGCATTCAAAACATAGCGATAGGGCGGGGCTTGAAGGCGAAGCGCCCGGATAAGGAAGTTTTTAAGTTTAGAAGGCGATGTTTGTGGATTTCCTGAATGGTTAATGATTAAAACAAATAAAATACGAGGGCTGAGGTCCAAGGCAGCGGTAATCCTCAACAAAAACGAGCAATCCAATGCCATGCAACTTCTCAGAGAAACGAAATCTTTAAACGGTATCATAAGCTTAAGGCTACTACTGACATGTTACGTTGTAGTGCAAAGGTGTTACGAATAACAGTTTTCCTCTTGACAACATATGTGGTCGACCTCAGATGCCATATATGGGGCCAACCAGTTTTGAGAATTTTAACCATGAGTTTTGATATGCAGACTGTAAGAAAAATATTCTGTAGTTCTCTGAGACAGTCAAGCACTTTCCTGAGAATTCTATATTCAGATGCAGTTCTGCCTGAATAAACAGAGGAAAGAAACCATTATGAAAATAAATACAAAAACCTATGGAAGGTGAGAGAAACATTCCAAGAATTCAACAAAACTACCATATACAGTATAATCATCCTCATTACTTAACTATCCTTACCACGCAAACCTCAACCCTATACCAGTCTTACCCCTGAGTGTGTGTGTGAGAGTGTTTGTGCGTGCGTGAGAGAGAGAGAGAGAGAGAGAGAGAGAGAGAGAGAGAGAGAGAGAGAGAGAGAGAGAGAGAGAGGTGGGGGGATACAGATAGATAGATAGATAGAGAGATAGATAAATAGATATGTAGTTAGAGACGGAGGGAGGGATATAGATAGACAGACAAATAGATAGGTGTGAGGAAGAGAGGGAGGAAAAACAAGACAGTGCAAAAGTATTAAAACTTATCCGCTTCTGCTTTTAAAGAAGAAATAAGTCAGTGTTGATGAAAAAAAAAGACTAAAAACGTAATGGAGGAAAACTGTACAACGTCGCTCCGAGGGATTGCAGAAATTGCACGGAGGGCAAAATGATTAGAGACTGTCCAGATAACGATTCCTAAAAATTGCTCTAATGTTAGTGATGATCATGATAATGATTACGAGCATTCTTATTACGAGCATCATTATTACCCAGCATCAACAAGTGCCAGTAACATTATTGATAATTCTAATGACTGCTGAAATAATAATGGTAATATCAATAACAAAAAACTAAACCATAATCACAAAAATAACAATGATGATAACGATGTTTGATATTTATAAAAAAGAGAAATAATATATATATTAAATCCCCGGCCGATGTTACTTTAGGGTTTCCGAAAATAAAGTAATTTGATCGCCGAACCTAAATGCTTTTGTCTCGAAACCAAACAAATGTGGGCACATTTTGCTACTCGTATGGGAAAATAAAGATATATTTCCTGTAAATACCGAAACACATGTCTTTTTTTTTACCCACCGATACTAATACAATATCCTAAATTGACACTATGATACAATCTATTTCGAAGACAGGTAGGTATAGGTTAATGGTTACGAAGCAAAATAATTGTGCTAGATATTAAAGGTCATATATCTCTATAGAAAAGTGAAAATTAGTGAAAAGGATAAACAGGGGGGGGGGGGTGGGGGGGATAAGTTACTGGTTAAATGAACTACACGTCAAAAGTAATGTAGCAATTCAGAATAGTATGGCTTTGAAAGGGGCAAAGAAGGGAGAGGATAGAGAGGGTAAGGGGATGGAAATTATTCTATTTATTGAAAGTTTTCTGCCGCGTCAACTTCAAAGGTCATTAGCGGCGCATTCAAAATATAGCGAAAGGGTGTGGCTTGGGGGTCAAAGTCCTCGGGATAAGGAAGTTTTTTGGTTCATAAGGCGATGTCTGTGGATTCCCTGAATAGTTAATGGGCTAAACAAACAAATGCGCCACCAGTCATCAAAGGTCATATAAGATTATGATATAATAAAAAAGGTAAAAATGAGTTACCGATTAGGATAAGTGGACAGAGGAAGGGGAGGAGGAAGAGAAGGAAAAGGGAAGGAGGAAAAGAAGAGAAGGAAAAGGGAAGGAGAAGAAAAGACCCTGCAGAATGAGATGAGGCAAAGGTTGGGGGATTAAATTATGTAAAGATACTAATGATATCTATTGAAATTCCCCTTCATTAAGTTTCTGTATACTTCATCATGATTGTTCTAAGCACAGAGCTAGTAAATTGATAATTCAAATTATGACATTTCCTCCATAACAATCACCTCAACGAAGTCACTTTGGCGAGATCTTTGGTGTTAATATAATAATTAATTACTGAAAAGTCATATGTTTTATGTATATATACTATTCTTTATCTCACTACATATGTATTTTATGCTAATAACTTCTCACCTAGCTACACAATTATTGGTTCTTTTAAGATCAATATAGAATTTAAACAATTCTCATTATTACTTATCAATTAGATTTCCAGGTATGTCGTTGGTTCACGCATGATTTGTTGGTTTTAATTAATAGAGTGTGTGATTAACTACGCATGAAATCAGTTGCTATCCAAGACATAGATTTGGTTAATATTATTTCGTGGCGATCCTTAACTTTTGGGAAATAACTGATGTGGAAAAAATCGGGTCCCTTCTGCTATATTTGAATGATCAAGTAACTTTTTAAAACTGAAGCACATTTTTGGCACGCAGCGTTATTTGGGAATGTGTTCCATCTGTCAAAAGTTCTGCTTAGGAAAATTAAATTCTTTACATCCTTATCGCCTCTTTACATCCAATTTTTACTGTGTCCTCTCGTCCTCCTTGCGTTTAAAATTTGAGTCATCTATATCTAACTACATTCTTCTTATAACAGACATCCCTTCTCCTTCTTTCTTCCAGAGTCCTATTTTATGTAGCCTTTCTTCATAGCTCATATCTCTGTTGGTGCTCATTTGTGGCTACTCTTTGAACTCTCCAATTTCGCTATATATATATATATATATATATATATATATATATATATATATATATATATATATATATATATATATATATATATATATATATATATATATATATTTAAGTGTGGACTCTATGTCACTGCGATAACCTAGACTAGATCTTATGATGGCTGTAGTGATATTTATTTTTTCGTCCCTCTTCGTGTTGACAATTAGCCCTAGCATTTAATGGAGTTTTTCATTTATAAAATAATTTGGGTTTATGATTATTCCAAGGTCTTTTCTTAATCTGCTGGGTTTATTACTGATTCTTTTAACATGTGTTCCTATAGGGGTAGATTTTACCTAATGACTACATGTTATTTTATTGGTTGAATTCCCTTTTCCAAGTAAATCTCCGCATTAATTAGTTCTTGGAGTCCCTCTGGAGGCATCATCTGCAAACATATTGAGATAGGTACTTGATTAATGGAAATAGTTATAATCGTTAGTTACACGTTTCTATGTAGAGTTTTCCCTCTATTTACTATGCCCATTTATCTTTCATGTTGGAAGACTCTTTGGAGTGAAACCTTATATCGAGGAGTTTGCTTTTATATGCGACACTTTATCATACGTGTGTGTGTGTGTGTGTGTGTGTGCGTGTGTGTGTGTGTGTGTGTGTGTGTGTGTGTGTGTGTGTGTGTGTGTGTGTGTGTGTGTGTGTGTGTGTGTGTGTGTGTGTGTGTGTGTATGCGGGTGTGTGTGTGTGTGTGTGTGTGTGTGTGTGTGTGTGTGTGTGTGTGTGTGTATGTGTGTGTGTGTGTGTGTGTGTGTGTGTGTGTGTGTGTATGCGTGTGTGTGTGTGTGTGTGTGTATGCGTGTATGTGTGTGTGTGTGTGTGTGTGTGTGTGTGTGTGTGTGTGTATGCGTGTGTGTGTGTGTGTGTGTGTGTGTGTGTGTGTGTGTGTGTGTGTGTGTGTGTGTGTGTGTGTGTGTGTGTGTGTGTGTGTGTGTGTGTGTGTGTGTGTGTGTGTGTAAGTGTATATATCTATGTACGTGTGTGTATGTATGTTTTACATTAAAAAAAGTTAAAAAAACTCCACAACCCTTCCTCACATCCGGCACGATGTACCCGCCTGCGTACGACACTTTCTTCCCTCCCCGTACGACGTCGCCCTCGTCCCCCCCCCCCCTCTCGCCTCCCGCCCGCATGTAAACACACGACGGAGAACATGTGGGTCGAACGCGCGTAGAAGTAGCTCGTTGTCAGGCGAAAGGAGGACTGTTTTTCAGGTTATTTAGGAAGGAGGCCTTGTTTTTCATTCTTTTTTTGGGTGTGAGGAGGACGAGAAGCCGCAGCAGAGATGGCGGAGCAGGTGGAGCTGAAGGTGGAGAAGATGATCCCGGAGTTGGAGGAGATGGAGAGGATAGGACTGCTGTCTGATGTGGAAGTCAGGTGAGGAGAAGTATTACTATTATTGTTATTTTGTGGATAACAGCATGACATTTTACTAATAATATTCTGACATTCTGGTGTAGTTTGGTTGTGTTTGGAACAAATCTGATTGTCATTTTCTAAGCAAACCTTCGGCTTCTGTTAGCAGGTCAACCCCCATAGTCACGACGTTCATGGAAACCGGGGCTATGGGAGAGGGTCCTTTTCTCGATTATGAGTATCGGGCCTTCTCTGACAACATCTATGACACCAGGTTTTTTTTTCTTGTGTCTTGAGGACGAAGCTAATGATCATGTCCATTGTATTCACAGCCGACAGTCTTGAAGTGATAAGTTATGATAGGAAGGGAGAGCATAAAGTAGACCAGGGAAATTACAGGGCAAAACAGGCTGAAATAAAAGAAGGGATTAATGTTACTGAGAGTGACGCACCTTACAGAGACTAAGTCCGAAAACCAGGGTATCATGTGAACCCAAAATCCAAACTTGAACCTTTCCTGACTTCTATTTATTCCCCCCTGTCCCCCCCTTTATTAGCACTTCCTACTTATAGAAAATGACGATGAAGAGAGCTGTGTATGGGTGGTGTGGATTTAGCCTCTGAATGGTGATATGCAGTGGATTTTTGATCATTTCGTGGTGAATATGAGGCCGCTTCATGTGTACCGGCGTTGTTTATTACTCTACTGCTTATGTTCTATAAGATGGCAGTGTTGGCAACATTAACCTAAAAGAATATAGAACATTTATGAGTAAATACACCTCAAAATACTCTTAACCCCTTGGTGCCGGGTGATGCCGATCGGCGTGCAAACAAAACGCTTGAAAGCTGGCGTGCAGCCAGACGAGCCGGCGGCGCGCCCAAGCGCAGCGAGCCAGTGATTCGGGCTGATGTCCCCTACTCACGCGTTCAAAGTTGGCGCGCCGCCTTTGTTTGCTTAAGCGTAGATTTTTTGTTTTGTTTTGTACACCCAGCGCCATTGGGTTAAAATTAGCTAGTGAAAGTATACAGATGCATCTCCAATCTATGCACTGACTTTTGAAACCTTTCAGTAAATCTTCAGGCATAAATATGATACAAAGACCCACATAAAAGTCATGTGAAGGTATTCCGAGAAAATTATCAGAATTACAGAGTAATTGTAAGTAGTCACAGTATGTTTATCCTTGCAGTGTAAACATTGTGAGGGACTTAAAAGAAAGACGAGTCGGTCTGTTTTCTTCCCTGTCATGTATCTTCTTTATATTTGATTTGTGCACGAAATACCAAAGATGAAAATTGTCTCAGTTTTCATCAAGGTATTCATTCTGTTCACTGTTTTGCCTGAAGTCCTAATTGTCATACACAGTCATACACTTCTAGTAATTCCTTCAAAGACCATTTGCTTATTTTTAGTTAATAAAATTGGTATTCTATGGGAATTATCAGAGTGCTGTAGAAAAAAAAGCAATTTTGATCAGTGAAATACAGATTGCAGCATGACAGTCCAGATAGTTGGGGAGGGCATGATGTGTGTCAGGGAAATTGTGGGGTAAAACAGATGGAAGGTGAAAAAAGATGATAAAACAATTGCCCTGTGCAGATCTACAGCTATTTTTACCATCTGGCTTATCCAGTCACTTTTCCTTTTTGTAACTCTAAACGCAAAATTTTGTTTTTAACTTGAAATCATAGTAGAAGCTCAGAGGCTACTACATTTTCTTTGAATGATAAAGGGCTAAGCAGCATTGTTGAAGAGTGATAATAACTAGGACAAAGGCTGGTACCATAGATGTCTTGTAAAAAATAGTTTTCTTGGGAGGTAGGGCAGCCCCCAGATTGCTATTCCCCGCAAAAAATGTACAATAAAAGGATCGCTTACTGTGCCAGATATCATTGGATTAAGATTTTCTTTTTCTAAATTGAAACGATAAAAAAATCAAAATATCAAATACATTGGCAGTAGGACTAACCTTTTAACAAACTTGGCACCTTTTTTTTTTTCTTCTTATCAGCGTGATAGTTTGCTTAATGTGTGATCCTAATACATATTTACTAATGGAATTCACAGGCATTGGCTTCTGTAACTGCTTCTCCATATAATTCTTGTTTTGTTTCCAGAAAACTAATTCAGAAAAGGAAGAACTTCGAGTACCGTCTGGCTCGCCGAACCAAAGGCAAAGCGGAAATTGTCAACTACGTTAATTATGAAAAGAAATTAATTGAATTGTTGAGACTCCGAAGAAAGGTTAGTGCTTTATGCCATACTAAAAGAAGAAAGACTTGTATGTTATTTTTACATATGTTGTACATATCATTGTGTAGACATGAGAACTTGTATAAAAAAGAAAAAGATACAAGATTAAAATTTTGTCTTTACAGCAACTGCACATGAATGAGAAGAAAGATTCAATTGACAATGCCATCGCAAAGCGCTGCATAGAAAACCTGATGATCCTTACTAGGACGTGGCCTCGACACCTTGACACTTGGGCGCTGAGGATAAAATTTGCAGAGTTTCTCGGCTGGAAGGATGAGGTTTGTGAATTGGATGGTTTTCAGTGATTGAGATCTCAATTTTTTTGTACTGTATTTATGTTTATTTGCATTGTTTCATTTCTGCTTGTTTCTTCATGAAAATGTAAAGTAAAAGTGCATATATATATTTCATAATGATATGGTCCTCGTTATCTCTCATATAATGGGAAATGTTATTAAAGGTTAGAAATTGCATTAAAGGAATTAGCAAACCATTGTGGTAAGACATGGAACACTTCCAATTGCAGAGACCAAATCTATCTGTTGCATTGTCTTGGGTAACAATGTAGTCAGAGTAAGTTCCGAATATGTTTGCCTTACCCCTACATCATGTGCCTGTTTTATATTTTACAATATGTGTATCAATTATCAGTTTACAGTATGAACCCAATGTCAGCAGGTTTATTTACTGTCCCCTTTAGATTTTAGTGAGTTTTGTTACATCTAGATGGCTCCACATGTGCTCAGCTGGAAGGAGTCTATCAGTTGGCCCTCGTGACCGATCCTGATTTCCCCATTCCTTGAATTGACGAGAAAAATGTGTTTTTTTTTTCCAATACTACTAATATTGTTATCATTCCTATTGATATGATTACTAAATTGTTATTAGAATATTAATAACATTAAATAAAATAAAATAACAGAAGTGAAGCTTTTAAAAAATGAAGGAAAAGGGTAAACAGTTGAGATAGGTCAGACTAATAGCTAACTCCTTGGTGACTAAGTACTTGTAGAGCCATCTATGTGTAAAGACGAGAGATAACTTCTTATTACAGTGAGCATGGCATTGTAGTTTTGCCATCCGCTGACATTTTGTTAATAAAAATATTAATTTCAAGAATGTAATGTCAAGGTACTATGGTTTTCAAAATCATAAATCATTTGCCAGTTAACCCCTTGGTGCCGGGTGACGCCGATTGGCGTGTAAACAAAGAGCTCGAAAACTGGCGTGCAGCCAAACGAGCCGGCGGCACGCCAAAGCGCGGTGAGCCAGTGATTCGGGCTGATGTCCCCTACTCACACGCTCAAAGTCGGCGTGCCGCCTTTGTTTGTTTAAGCGTAGAGTTTTTTTTTTCTTTTGTACACCCGGCGCCATTGGGTTAAAGTTTATCCAGAATAGTTAATAATTGATAATCACTTACTGCAAGAAGTTAATTTTCTGTATTTCAGGTTAATGATAAGCCACATTAAAAGGAGTTAGATATTTTCAGTGACAAGTGTATATCCACACTTTTTAATTTTGAGTCGTAGGACTTTGAGGTGTATTTTCTTATAATACTGTATTCATTTGGGGAAAGGTTGGAAATCAACTGGGGAATTAGATTTATTATTATTATTGTCATTATTTTTTATTTTATTTTATTTTACTTTATTTATCTATTTATTTTTTGTAACAACCAACTGATTAAATTCAGTCGCATAAAAACTTTAATTAATTATACCCAGTAGATCTCAGGTATAGGTAGCTTAGCCCCATGAAAAGAAACTGATGTAAAATCAGAATCAAGATATGGGTGAAGGGATATTCCATTGGTGCAAAAGATTATTGTCATTCTTTTTTTTTATTATTATTATTCAGGTATGCAGGACGTACTATGCCCAGACGAAGTTCCACGCAGAGAAAATTGACGTATGGATTGCGTGGGCTAAATACGAACTGGAATGGAAGAACAATTTTGATGGCGCACGGAGGATTCTTGTTTCTAGGGCTTCCCAACATCACCCGAAGTCTATCCAGCTGAAGCGAGAGGTAAGCCTGAGATTCGTAGATGGGGCTGTCAGTTACCTCAAAAATCACTAGGGAAAGAAGTGGTTAAAATCAAAATTTCCCCGAAGGTATTTAACCAATCAAATCCTGTTTGTAGAGATGTTATTATGTTGGCTGTAGTGACAACTATTTCCTATATCAGGGCACAAAATAATCTTTAATGTATTGATTGTATTAATTACAGTAAGGGTAGACAGTTATAATAATACTTATTTGCTATTATTGTGGAGATATTGTGAAAGAGTAAACCTGTGTGTATGGAGAGGAACTTGGCTTATTTCCCTCGAGCAGTGTAGCAGGATTTTTTTCTTTATATATATAATTGAAACCAAAATTAATGGATAAGAAATCAAATTTGATTACAGTTTATCATCGACAGTTAGTTTTGATCCTCTGATATTTGCTGATTGGCATATGCGGTGTCACAGATTTTGGCCATGTTCAGCCCTCTTATTCAGGATGGAAGGCTTAGCTTGTGATTA